CTCGCGCGCTCTCTCTCCTCTCCCACCCTTTCCCTTTCCTTCCCTCTCACTCGCTCGCGTGCTCTCTCTGTCTTTCTCTCTCTGTCTCTCTGTCTCTCTGTCTCTGTTTCTCTGTCTCTCTTTGTCTCTCTCTGTCTCTCTCTCTCCATGTCACCTATCCTTATTCTTTCTTTCTATCGCTCTCTGTCTCTCTCCAATCTCTCGCCCTCAATTCTCTCCCCTTTTCTTTTTTGCCAGCCCCCCATTTTTCTTTATATATTATATTTGTTACCTCTTTTGTGTTAGCCTAATCAGAAATGATTAGCTGAATACCAGTCACCTTTGGATCCAAAGCACAAAGACACTTCATATCAGGATACATTTTGCTGATGAAATCACACAACATTAAACACGGATAGCACACCCTACAAAAACAAGTATACTTAAAGGGAAAGTCCACCCCCAAAATAAGTTTGTTTCGATAGAGGCAGAATAATAAGAAAATCAGGTGAGTGAAAGTTTGAGCAAATTCTGAATGAAAATAAGAAAGTTATGAATTATTGAAGTTGTGATCAATCAAATACAAATTGGCAACTCTATGACGTATCATGCGAGCTCAACTTCCATTTGCTCAGTACTAAAAAAATCTAAAATTTTCATTTTCCCTCAAGAAAAATTTCAACCATACATGCACCCTAAATATTATAATTGCAAATATGTTTCTATACTCCCCCTGCAAGGAACAAATATATATTCCGTCATCAATAACGAAGAAAACATGATTTTATGGAATATTATGCACAAAGCAAATGAAGGAGAGCTCGTATAATAAGTCACAGAGTTGCCAATTTGTATTTGATTGATCACAACTTCAATAATTCATAACTTTCTTATTTTCATTCAGAATTTGCTCAAACTTTCACTCACCTGATTTTCTTATTATTCTGCCTCTATCGAAACAAACTTATTTTGGGGTGGACTTTCCCTTTAACCCATCCTAAGATCAGCGTACACAATTTCCCAATACTCAGACATAACACCGAGTCCACCATAAAATAAACGGAACTTTGACAAATTCTTATCTTAGGCATATCTTGGTATGTGCATTTAAACCGAGTATCATTTGGGATCCAATGATTATGACACAACAAATTCGACCACAGTTCTAATATACACTGTATATACAGCTTTTTGTTATGTGTGTTCCATGAGTAACATGGCAAGTTATATATTAATGTGTTTAACTTTTTGTTAGCCGAGAGATTTTAAAAATAAGAATGAACGAAGATAATGCAAATGTCATGATCATGAAGCCTACATTATGCACAAACTGAGCAAGAATTTAAGCTTCTCAAAGACCCCAAGGAAACTAAACGCAATGTACTTTTGAAATTGAATGCACTTATTTCAAACATGCTTGCCCATTCACGAATTTGAATGACCACCGTGTTACCGTAGCCGGCATTAGATTAATTTGAATGTTCTTTGCACGAAAAGTACGCTATTAGTTAACATTTGAATGACACAATTGGTTGCACAGTGAATTTGAATTAACGAATTTTGAATTTGAAAGCTGATTCAACGCTGCCAGTGCGATTTGTGCGAATTCGAATGCTCGGAATTCGGAATATAAACTTGAATGTCAAACGTGTGAAATTGGCCTCAAAACATATAGTTGGATATTCAAAATACACAAAGGTAAAGAAAACTGCAGTACGCTTGTCACAAATGGCTTACATGATTAACCAGGCGCGTACGCAGGGGGGGGGGGGTTAAACCCTGCGTACGCCACTGTGATTAACAGTAGCTTTAATATCCTAGTATCAACGGATACATTTTATTTTTCATTTCAGAGAGTGGATACACAGGATGTTATCCTTACCCTGCATCAGCCATGTCATCGCTTGGAGATTTGCAAACTCTTTGTGAAAATGGACTTCAGGACTCGACAATACCTGGTTGCGTAAGCTCGTGCCATGGCAGCAATGGTAGCTACACCTATGCTGGTTTGTACCAAGGTAACATGTGCCTTTGTGGGAATGCATCAACAACCATCGACCAATCTACAAAGGAAGCTGATAGATTATGCTCCTCTCCGTGTACTGGAAGGAACATTGAAACATGTGGAGGAGCCAATCATATTGCACTGTTTAATAGTAAGTGAATATAATATACATGTTTGCAAATAAAATGAAAATAATTTGATAGCTGGGATCTTTTCACTTGCATATCATCTCAGTACTAGGTTCAGTGTTTCAATAAATTGATGTAGGAAAAGTCTGAAAGTCATATTCATTGAGCTTCGGTATTAATTGCAGTTTGAAAAAGGATAAACATAATGTTGTAAATATTACTAATTGTAAGACTTCTAAACCCGACTAGACTCTTAACCTCCGCAGGCGGCAAATGAAAGTAAAACGATTTTTTTTTTGTTTTTGTAGCTACGCATAATAAGGCTACTAAATACAGCAGATATTCTAGATGATGTTATACCTTACTGATTTCCATAATCAAATATATATCGAAATAGTTAATCATGTGCTTTCCTTTCCCCGCATCTAAACATTACAGTCACATTGTATCTACAAAATACCAAACGGACTGCCAGTCCTCCAGGATGTGCGGAACCAACCCCAACTCAAACCGAAGGTGAGTCTGATCATTCCTCAGTTCTTTGTAAAATTATATCAACCATTCACGTAATATTCATCCAGTTTACTTCGTTCATAATATGCACAATGATCTTTTTGACACGTGAAAATAGTCTCATGATGGCAGGCATAGGTTTTTACATTAATGACGTTGATGTTACTGTAAAGGCAACTATGAACATTAGTAATTTTGAGATCCTCTTTCAGCTAGGTTTAACAATGTAAAACATTGTCCCCTCCTTTCTGTTCACTGCTTTGCACGTCATTCTCTTTCTTTTTTTGGTTCTATAAATATTTGTTGTATGACCTGAAAAAAGTCTGTAATAAAAAGAAATATGGCATGATTATGTTTGTTTGTGAAATTATAGTAACTATAGTGAATTATTCTTGTTAGCACTAGTATACTATTTTTAGTTCATTATTTCATCTACAGGATTTTACAATAAACCCATGCATGTTGACCACAAAATAATATATATTTATAAATTAGAGGAGACTAAATCGCAATTGAAGCTTTCGTCTATCATTTGTGGACATTTGCACGGACTGTGATTTTTTCTTATCCAGTCTTTCGGTTGACAATGTACCTGATACGAATGAGAATAGACCCCATTGCTAATCAAAAATGGTCAATAAGAATTAAATTTAATAAAAAATATAAAAATTTGGCCCAAGCTCGGAACTACTTTCGAATAATAAACTTAAATATCAACAGTCTTGTCCGTCATCTTTAGAAATGCATGACATTCAAAATCGTATTATGAAATACGAACATTATATATTTAATAGAATATATAATATGATATTGAAATTGCCCTTGAATCGATTTGTTGAAAGTACTTGCAATCATGATTTTCTTTAAAGAGATAGAAGTGAGCATAACGTATGTTGTTGTTACTAGGTGATGTTACTACGACTGAGAGCATCCAATCAACACCATCGCCTTCACCTCCGCCATCACCATCAACATTGTCCCCATCATCATCATCACCATCACCATCACCTCCATCACCAACATCTCCATCAGTGCCTTCAACTGATCGCACAACGATGGAAGGTTAGTCATTCACGATATCATGATAAGGTAACATCGTGTGGGGGAATTCATCATCGAGGTTTTAATCTAAACCACGGTATAAACCACCATTGCCTATGGGCAGGCCAAAAAGGAAAAAAAATAGGAGATAACATGACGTCGAAATATAGGCGAAATTAGGACACAAAGTTTTTTTTGTTTTCTTTAATGTCATAGAATAAAATGTATTGCCTTTTGTGGGGGCGGGGGATGTGTTTACTATTTAGCTTTTGGGGCTTTTTGGCAGCCCATAGTAAAAAAAAAAAAAACAAAAAACAAAAAACATGCGGTTGAAACCAAATTTAAGGTTTAAGAGTCTTTTGTGAATGCCGGCCATGGGCTTTACAGATTAACAAGAGTAACAAAATATAAACAGAATTTAGCAACAGGATTATCATATTTCATTGTTTAAATGGTTTATTCAAGCACTCATAGGGCTGACAACTATAATCACTAAGCGCTTCCAAACTTGGAGATTATATTAACCCGGCTTTTGCTGTGCTGCCATTGCGGCGCTCTAGCATTTCAGAGAATTAATTCCTGCTAGGAACCCATTTACCTCACCTGGGTTGAGTGTGGCAAAAATGGATCAATGTCTTGCCAAAGGACATTAGTGCTGCGGCGGGTCTCGAACCCATCCCCCCCCCCCCCCAAAAAAAAAAAAAAAAAAAAAACACACTGATGATGATGTGGAGGATGTTTGTACCGTATGGGACAAAATTCCTTGGATTTTCTATAATACAGTGCGTCCCAGAAAAAACGAAATCGAGAATTATCGATGTTTTTATCATAACTTAATCACAATTATAATTGATAAATGACACATATTTTGAAAGCTTAGATCCTCCTCTTTCATTTGATGCTACTCATATAATGCATATTTCACGCATGAGTGATTAAAATGAATTTGAAGAGAGGAAACAAAAAAGTCATTTGGCGGATGGTATCTGAATTTCAAAGAGAAAATCACATTTCTAAAAAGTTGAGTTTCTGCCCTTTCATATGAAACCTCAATCACGAAAAATGAGCAAGGAATGACAAAGTTCTGTTTGTTTAAAGTAGTGCTGGCATTTCCATAATTTTATCAAATGAATTCGTTTTCACTGGCTGCCTGCCGAAGCAACAAGCAGAATTGACAAAAGACTTAACTCCGTTTCGTTGACAATCAGCCATGCATGAAGTCTTTCGTCTACGGCCGATTGTCAACGAAACGGAATCTAAAAGTCCCTAATTATGCGTAAACGAATACACATGGTTTAAATTCAATATTTCATGTTTCCGTTTTCAGGCTTGTATATCGGCGTTGGAGCCGGTGGTGGTATCCTGCTTCTCATCATCATCATCATCCTGGTCGTTTTCATAATACGATGTCGGTAAGAAAGTGACGAACATTATATACATAGTGATTAGTAGGTACATTGTGGTACATGTATATTGGAGAAGGGTTGTGTAGTGGTATCGTGGTTCATTGACTTGACTCTCAATCCAAGTGTTGCTGGTTCGAATGACAGCCGGGTAATAATTTTCATTTGGCAAGACAATGAGCCACATTTCCAACCCTCCATCTAGGTGTCCAATGGGTATCTGGCAATTGGAAAGGGCTCAGGGAGAACAACACTGATGCTGACGAGGCCTCCCTAGATAAACAAGCTTAATACGATCGCAATGACTTTCGAGAAATCACCTCAAGGGCAATTTCATTACCCTTCTGCATATCCCACAGAAATCCTGTACGGATTATACATGTATAATACATGTGTGCTATACTCGTATATTTCAGAAGGTGACGGAGATGGCGTTAGTTGATTTTCGAAAGTATTTACGATCGTGTATGACTCTAAAACGAGAGGTTCCGGATTCGATCTTTATCCGGTGGTTACAACCTTAGACTACTTATTTTATACCCACATTTGTGTCCCTCTCTGGGGATGATATTGTTTTAGGACCCTCAGAAAAAAGCATTATCGATACTGATAAAACTACCTTTGATAGATAAGACCATACTAATAGATAAGGTCATTATTATGTCTTTTCTTATTTCTTCGAAAATCTTCGAAAAGGACAATATGTTTTTTGTTTGTTGTAGAATTCATAGCGTTTACTCTATTAAAAACAACTTTATGATCCTCGTACTAATTCAATTTTTGAAACTTCAAAGGTACTATGTCCCTTTTGCAGACCAAAAAGATGAAAAGGTTAAATTCCAATGGCATTTGAAAGATAATACTAAAAATAGAACTCCCCTTAAAAAAATGAGGCTTGAAAATGTCTCAAAGTGGGGAAAATGACCACTATTAGTTGTCAAATCGACTTAGGAGCCATAGAGCCAATAAGTAATAGTCTTGATTTTCAGACCATTGTACCACATTGTACCACATGGTCGTACGTTTTATGCTGCTCAAAGATTTAATCAATTTAAATTTTTGCCATTACAAGAAGTGGGTTATTGATGTAGACAATTCCTTTATAGCTCATTTCATGTATGTAATTACCAAAGAAGAAGAAAAAGCCAGTCAGTCACTCAATGCTGACATTAGTGTCTGACAGTGAAGTCTAGTAAGTAAACGGGTTTCCTTGCATAATTTGAATATAAGAACACTGCTAACGTTTAAATTTCACAGATAGGACATACATGACATATTCATAATTCCTGCAAAGTTCTACAGAATTAGAGGTTGGCTGCAAAACGGACATAGTATCTTTAACATATCTTTGTTAAAACAAAAATCTTTAAACAAATTTCAATATCTTTTGAGTTATGAATCGTAAGGTGTTAAAAATAAGTGGGACATTCTTCTAAATCTACACCGACGCTGGGTTTACGCTTTTGTTCATAATTGGTTTAAACAGAGGAAGTTAGTCCGAGGTCTGAATTTTCCATTTTGTTAAACATGATTTCGACCCTGTGTCGGGTTCAAGTGAATTAGTAGTTTTAGTAGTCTTTACATCACCTACATGTATAATACATTGACTAATGACTCCTTCCTTTTTTCAAATTACATGAAGGCGATCAAAGGACAAAGGCTCTTCAAGCGATCACAGCATATTGGAACTGCGATTAAGACCTGAAGGATCCGATCTGGGCGATTTTCCTCCCCTATCGTTATCACCAAACACCTACTCTCTGGAAAATGGGCATACCAAAATGGCCGCCGATGAACTCACCACGGGAACAGGTGTGGAAGAAAGTGACTACGCTTTGATAGCCGAGACCGAAATGAATCCGGCGAAGAGTGCGAGAAACGGTTCTACCTACGAGGATGTTCCTCGACTGGAGAGCACTTCGGGGAGTCGCAGACCCCTGCAGCCTGTGCCCAGGAAATCAACCAAAGACACCCAATTCGCCATGCATCCCGTACATGAGCTGTACACCACACCTGACGAAAGCCAGCTGAGTAATGGACACCGTGACTCTATCCCTGAGTACGCGGTTTCTCAGAAATTCCGCAAGGAACCAATTAGTCAAACAGTTCCTCAGGCACCGCCTTCTGCTTTAGGCCCTGAAGACATAAATGGCCTCTACACCATGCCCGATAAGTCAAGGAACACGACGAAAGCAAAGAAAGTGTTGGATAGTGACATGGACATACCTGCAGGTATTGACAATGCCTCATATATCTGTCGTGGAGAGGATGACCTTCAGGAAGGCGAGACACCAAATGAGTATGCTACTGACAAGGATGGCATGGGTGGCGAAGACGAAAGTGATGATGACACAGGAATGGTTGAAAATGATATGTATGATACCTCCCACAGACCTACTGGTGGTGACACAGGGATGGTTGAAAATGATCTGTATGAGACCTCCTACAGACTTACTTGAAACTTTAAAACTGAATGACTTTAAAAATACGAAAGAAAACTTCGCTCAGTTCCAGGCGTTATAGTTGTCCATGTAATTCTTTGGGATAATAGTCCTGGATGTGTAGTCCTTTATGTTAATTGCATGTCTACCACAGTTGTCCGGGAAGGCGGGGGGGGGGAGAGGCGAAATATTTCTCCCAGGAGGTAGTCGTTAGTCGTTTTGGGATATACATAGACCTCTGGACATGGTATGAATAATGTTCTGACACTTGGCAAATTTGACATGACCTTCTATTGTTTATGTTGATATTTTGAATTTTGTATGACAATGTCGGTCTATGCATTTGACAAGCATCTTATTTATTCAGATTAGAGTTGGTATTGATGTGAATTATCGGGCTCATAGGTTGGAGAAAATTGAATAATCAGAATAACATAACTATGAATTTACTTTGTTAGACAGCAAATTTATCCATTTCTTATTTGTATTCATAACTGATGGTTAGGAGCCAGAGCATATAATACTGAGCTCCTATAGGAAATATATTTATTCAGATGGTCATATCTCAGCCAATACTTAACATATGCAATTGGTTTTTGGCATTTGGACATTAAGTTTGATGCTCTCTCGGAAAATAAAGAAAAAAATGAGAAATTCTAAAAAATAGATTAGTATGACGTCACAGCTTCGGTACTCTATAAACCACACTTCTTTAGCTGGAATCAAGTTCGTAACATATTACTCAATCAGACTTTATGGAAGGTCAGATGCAATGTTTGCTGCTGCAGATTGCATTGCCTTTGGTCACTAGAGCGTGACACAACCACTGCAGAGAATTGTCATAATTATTGAAAAGATGAAATTCTCATTCATTCATTTCGTGGGATATTTGATGTTAATTAATCTATTCTGACGTGTTAATTGGCAAGTTTTGACCGTGCGCTGTGTGTTTTATTGAGGATAATTTATATTTTACAGTTTTAGTATGCGGTATGTTTAGAGTATATGCGTTATCGCAAAAGTTATGATATTTGAGAAGCTTTGCGTCCGTAAATGTAACAGTAAAATTGTTATTTGACAAGTCCAAGCTATTCCTTTCCGAATATAAAGAGGGAATCATGGATTGGAAAAACTTTTTTGCGATTTCAGCATACATTCTGACGGCCTGTGATCGGGTGCTGGGTGCAATTTGGATTGGAAGTAAGTTATGATTCGGTATCTCAACTAAGATTTCTCGAGACCTTCGTAATCATTGTTCGTGTCTTTTGTTGTTCATCTTGATGAAAAAAACAATTTTCGTGGTACAAAAATTCACCAATAAATTCACCAATAAACAATAAGAACCTTCTAGTGTCAAAAAGTATGAAAATGGGGGAGGGGAGCTATCATTTTTGTGTCCATCCCCCTGAAATAAGCTGTTGGGTTTCAACGTTTAACATTTTTGATAGTAAAAACGAATTTTCTCAAAGTATGGAATGAGATTTTGTATTATTAGTTGAGACAAAAGTTGGTAAGCGATTTATATTTTCAGATATATTATTGCAAAGGAGTAAATAAAAAAGGGGGATTTCTTCACTTCATTTTAATTCAAATTTATCGGTCATGCATCAAAATAAAATTAAGCGCTAATAAAAAGCCAGAATCATTATTACTATTGGATAATATGGAGTAATAAGTCATTGTTATCTTTGAAAAATTCATGTTATATGAACTTATAGTAATCTGAATACGTACATAAGGAAGTTCAATAGCGACAGCAGAGGTTTGGGAGCAGAAACTTGGGCCAAGTCTCTAGATTTGGTACATGCAAATCGGAAGAACACCACCCCTCCCCTTTATATATTCAGACGGAAGGGTCAAAATGATAGATATATACACACATTTTCCTGGATTATGATATTGGTATTAAATGGCTCAATAGTTCACAATATCCTCTGTCTTTTGTTATCTTCCTTACCTTAACCGCAAGATTTAATATTATAAATGGGAATAATTGTTTTCAGGAACTGGCAGGTAAAACAAAGAGCCCTTTTTTGAAGGGCAGGTTATACGTCGCAGATGAAAGAAAATCGCTTAGACTATCTAGAGGAATTTGTTGGAAGATTGTAAGATCTAGGATAGTGGAGATAAGAAGGAAGATAGAAAGGCCTTAAAATGGACCAGAAACGGACAAAATGGCGCCTAGACGGTTATGCATGAGTGATTTCGAAAATCGAAGAATGTAGTGAACTGGATGAGATGGTAGAGATGATGCTTACGAAATTTGATAGGAAAGGGGCATGAGGAAAGCACCTAAATAGGAATAACAAGCACTACGTGCAAAACGAATGGGGCAGAATGTGAACAAAAACAAGGCAATGACGAAGGTCGTCATTGCAATTATTTAATACCATACCTGATTTAAAGCAGAAATGCACCATTCTCCTGTGAAAACAATGTATAACCGGAGGGAAGCCGTAATTTGTTGTTACATGTCAGATTTCTTTTTTTCTTTTACCAGGAGTGCAAATTGGCCTGATCGTGGTTGTTGTAGCTATGTTGCTGTATGCAGCTGCTATAACTTTCTTGCTTATTCAGCTCAGGTAATTTAAGGTTCATGAAATTTATTTTAGCCCTGTATTTCACCTTCTACGAGTTATTAATAGACGAAATGAGCAACTGCAGAAAGGTACTACCATTAAAGAGATGTCAAATAATGAACTTTTTAAGGGCTATAGCAATTTACTACTTGTAACAAGATAAGTAACTTACTTTTTTTTATCTGATATATACCCTTTTATCTAAACACATTTAAACCAGACTCAAACCGTTGAGGTGTCTTTTCAGATGTAAACAAATAACCTTATTAGGTTACTTCGTATCAGCAAAGATTTTAAACATTTTAACCTTTTTTTCAGTTTTTCAATAAAATCGTTTATAATAATGATATCCGGCAGCCACTGAGCTACACCTCTTTTTGTTGAAATAAGCTTTTTTCTTGATGGATTCTGTTTCCTTAGGCATTGCAGAGGACCAAAGAGAAAACTGGAGCTTTGTCAGTGTTGAGCAATTTAAGATATGACCAAAAACAAAATGGCCGCCAAAATAGCCTATTTTCAGAAAAAATTTGAATTATTTCATAATACATTACGAAATATTGGCAGAATGGTGTGCTTATAATTCACGAAGACCATTGTCAACACATTCCTGATGACCATACATGAACATAAATGACCATAGATGACATAATTGGCATACTTTTCGTTGTAATTGTTGCTAAATTGCATATTTAAAATGGCGGATAAATGCCAGCTGTTAAGCTTAGAATCACAATAAAATAGTATTATTCTCATTTCTTTCTATCTGATGTTTTTAATTCCTAGAATAACTAAGTGTACCAAATACTTATGTCATACTCATTTGTCAATAATGACTAATTTAGATAATGGGAAAAAACAAATGGCCACCAAAATGATAAATTTTAAGCAACATTTGCCATTACGGAAATTGGCAGAGTAGTATACTGGTACGTCATGAATCAGAGATAAATTGATTTGGATATTTGACTTTGGCGGCCGTTGTATATTTGCTCATTTACATATTCAAAATGGCGGCAATGTTAGTTTATCACACAATTTCTATCAAAAGTCAATAGTAATAAATATTTGTTTTCACAATAGGATTTGAATTCCTAAGATACCATTACGTGAAAAATGATAATTTGATCACTCTTCTTTCATGAATGTGTTACCATTTTATAGCGTAGGTCACTTTAAGTATCGATATTAGGAATTTTACCTTCACAATTCATCTTGTACGCAATTCTTTTAAGGATAAGCCTACGTCTTTGCTTTTTTTGCTGACCTGAGCTCACCCATCACTGTCATTTTGATTTACATTTTTTGCTGCTAGAGTCTGATCATTTAGACATCGCACGGATGCATGTCACGCACAGAACATTGTGCACGCTAATTTGGCTTTGTTGCATCCACATCCTGATGATTTGCATGGGGTGTCACTTGCACAATTGCAACGTATAAGTCTCAGTATGTTTGCAGGTGCAAGTTTCACATTTGGTGGAGTGGTTACCGGGATGAGTGACTTTGTTGCTTCGTCTTTCTGGTAACCAAATGCAGTGAGATCCAATGTCCATGGATTCAATTCCAAAACACTCTTCCAAAATCATGTTTGAAGATGGGCACGCTTAACATTATCTTTGAAGGCTTCAGTTGTTGGTGGCATTGCAGCAAGATTTGGAGTGTTGGAAGCTCCTGCTTTCCCGACTCGTGTAGTCCACATATTCAGCCGGGCATTTGACAGTGTCGTAGCCTTGGGTTGTCCATATCATGATGTTATGAGCGATGTTGCATCTTTCATCACGTCGGCCATATCTGCATGTATGTCTCCAGTCGATGGCAATCGGAACCCATTTTTCTGCCACATCACGTTTAGCAAAGTTCCTTTGCGAACTCCAAAAAGATCTGTCTCTGATGGGCGACTTCATTATCAAGGGTGACTGAAGGCCTTGCTTTTGGTAGAAATGAAGCAGAAGAACATAGACATAATTATGTGTCGTCTGCAAGCACCCTGATGGATCGTCCTTCATCTGCAAGCATGATAGCCTACTGCACAATAATCAAATCAGCCTCGTCATGAGATGTGGCCATATCGTGCCGTTGGATTGGAACACCACATGGACCTAGTTGAACAGGAGTGCCGTCTTGGCTGGTGATCACAAGCTTGTGTTTTATGATGAAACCTGCATCGCCTTGCAGATGTTGACAAATGATATGAATCAACTGTTTCTTGTTCTCTGTGACTGTCAGAGTCAGTTTCTGAGACGGAAGGGGTGAATTTGGACTCGGTTGAAAAACTCTGCAACCATCATTGCCTCTCGATATCCTGGTTGCACACTTGGTGCTGTAATCATTGTATCTGTCAACACTATCACTGTTGGTTGTCGTGTTGGTGACGATGAAGGCCAATTAGGAATCCAAAGGAGAGCACAGCCATCGATCACTCTACATGTTTCTTCAAGTGTCGCGTGTCTAGCTGATACTTCAACCTTTGTCTCTGTTTTTTCAAAGCGGCCTTGGACTTCGAGATACCCATATCTCCGGACTCATCAAACAGAGCTGTAGGAACTGGCGACAGCTCGCATGACATT